GTCTGTCTGATTACTCATAACAGTAAGTGCTCACTAATGTAAGTATGAGGTTCACATACTTACATTAGTGAGCACTTACTGTTATGAGTAATCAGACAGACACTGACTTCTACCATCCCTAGACTTCATCGGGACTAGTCATGCAAATCAGTGTTCACCAGTGTGAGTAAGAGTTTCAATCAGCCCTGAGGATCAGACATACTGAATTTTATTTAAACTTGATAACTCGAATATCGTAAGATAAGGATTGAGGGCTTATTTTCCAAGTAAATGTTAGACACATTAAAAAGCTGCTGTTTCACTGTATTTCACACTAGAATACACACCGTGTTTGAGTTCTAAATCTTGCAAAATCATCTGAAAGGAACTAGCCAGTTAACATTTTTTGGACTTGGATTCATCTTTCAGAACTGGCAAAAATACTGTAAAATAAATATGTATAAATGATGTATATTATTTGTGTTATTAAGATTGCCCACTATCTCCCATTATAAGATCGTGTTTTCACTTGCTTATAACTTTGCTGTACTTTAACAATTTAGGCCGAAATTTTCGATGTTAGGTTGCTGCCTTAAGCTGAATTTTTTGGAAAACTTCAACTGAAATAGTTCATCAGTTCAGAGAATGAGTCAAAGGGAAAAATATTGTTTAGCCCATGTTAAATATTTCTTGCTCTTCTTTGAACTGCTTCGGCACCCCTGTGCTTTGGAGCAAGAGGGTTGATTTTTGTGTCAGGGATGTGACTTTTGTCGTCCCCATGAAAATCCACTTGAATTTGGCCAAGTTTTAAGCCTTTGAAGAATTGCATTTCGCACATGCACAGTAGAGCCTTGCTAGAGCTTAACTGCTAAAACTTCTAAAGAGTCCATCCTCACTGAGTATGCTCCAGCCCCTTATGGCTCCTGTGTGTGACAGGACTGTGCATGCACCAGCCCCACAGAACAGCTGAATATGCTACAGCCCAGGATTACAAGGGCTCAGAATTTCCTTGTAACAGCTGTTTCAGAGTGGCACCAGAACTGATCAGGGAGCCTGTCTCTCCTTCGCTCTCAATGTCACCCCTGTCTGAAGTCCACACCAAGGCAGTATGGACGATGTAGCCAATTGATCTGAAGGTAGAGGGAACAAAAGCTGGACCCGAGCGAAGAGAAAGGAGTAGGTTGGGACAAGGAGTCTTCTGAGAGTGGGACGGGAAGTAACTGACTAGAAGCTGATTGGTAGGGAGAGACCGGGCAAGAAGGAGACTGGGACTGGGAGTCAGTTTGCTGGGAGGGGAAGATATTGATATCAGATGAGGAACGAAGATGAGGCAGGGACTAGGAACCAATGTGGCAGGGCACCTGGGAGGAGAGACATCTGTCAAGGAGTTGGCTGGGTGAAGAGAAGAGACAAGGAGTCTAGGTGGGAGAAGGGGACCGAGATTGGATGAGGAGCCCAGGAAGGGAGATTGAAACTAGGAGCTAGTGTGGAGAGGGGAGAGACCAATCAAAAGCTAGGTGTGGAGAGAATGGGCCTGGCTGGGCAAGGAATTGGGGTAGGGAGTGGGGAACTGGGACTAGCTGGGCGAGGAGACTGGGACTGGATGTGGGGAGGGAAAGAGATGGGGAGCCAGGGAACAGAGGGGATGGGGACAGCATGTCCAGGGGGAAAGACAGACTGGCTGGGCAAGGAGACTGAGATGCGAAGACTAAGGAGTGGACGCTGGGAGTGGCCAGGTGAGGAGAATGGGATTGACACAAGGAGCCAGGGCTGGGGAAGAGACAGGACCAGGACAAGTTGGAGGGAAAGGGATGGGACAGAAGGGGTCAGGCTTGGGGGAAATGGGAAGGAGTGTCTGTGCCCACTGGAGCTTGGGTTCTATTCTAGACTCCCCATTCAGAGTCTAGAATAGAACTCAAGATTGCAGAGTCTCACCATTCCTTTGCTGTCAGCAAACATCTGTGAAACCCTTGTCATAGTGTGTGTTGCATCCCCCACTAGTACTGGTCCACGTAGAGGATGACAGCCTACTCCTGCTATCAGTTACTCTATTGGCTCAAATGGGAGAGGTCTGTGTGGTGAATCTAAAGGTTTCAACCCCGTTGGTGACCCATGTGGGTGTCAATATGATGTCACATTATGGAATTTGTTTTTTCAGTTTCTTTAAAAAAAACAACTAGGAAATAACACACAAACTATGTTGAAAATTCAATATTAAGGTTGCAGAATTAAGCACTCAAGAGTTAGGAAATAGCAGAATATAGATTGCCTAACTCAACCCTCAGCATTCTTCACATCTATTTTTTTGTGTGGAATGAGAAAAAAGGGTAGTGATCAATAACTACTACTAATCATAATAAAAATCCAAAGCCAGTTATATTTTCGAGTATTCGTTGATTTCATATTTAATAATCAGATTGGCTGAGACTTGAGACTTTTTCTTCTCTCTTGTTTTGACTACTTAAAATCAAATATTTGAAGGAAAGATGGGTAACAATTCTTGAATCTCAACCAGTGATCAAAGATTTGAGAGGTGGGCTATCCATTATCAAACCAGGACATTCCAGATCATGTCATTCAGACTTCAAGAAGTAGTTTAGTCTTTACCATCGCTTCAGAAAGGACATTGAAAAGACATGATGCTGAAACAGAAGAGATTGTTAATCTTTACAAACTGATAAACATTTAATTTTTAAAGAATAATTCCAACAATAATTCCAATCCTATGTATAACTGTGGCTGTATGATATTCATGCTTTGGCAAACAGGAGCATTAATTTTGGTAATTATATGTCTAGCATTTTAAAGCACTTGAAACTATTATTCTGGTGGTGTGATATGCGAAGACATTCCCCAGTATCCAAAACATTCTCCCCGCATATTTACTCACTATGCCTCTTTCACTCCTAGCACTGTATATGAAAACTGTGAAACCGTTGCCCATCTTGTCATTGTACTTTTGACTTTTACATACTATGATCTACTCTCAGGAACTAACAGTTTTTTGTAGCCACTTACGATTTAGAAGGTGTTGAAGTGTCAATTTTGAATCTCAGGGCTTGTCTACATGGCTACTTAGTGTACAGTAAGCTGGGGTGGGAATGTACAGCATGCTAGCCTGTGTGCTAATTGGCCTTGTGGACCTTGCTACTGCACACTAAAAGTTCCATACTTTTAATGCACAGTAACAGAGTCCACACAGCCAGTTAATGCGCAGCAGGCTAGTGCACTCTGCATTCGGCACCCTGGCTTGCTGCTAAGTAGCTGTGTAGACAAGCCTATATTAGATGTGTGTGGATGGGATAGAAAAGGAAAATTCTCCCATAGAGGACAGGTGGCTGATTAACAATGTAAGTGGATTAATAATTAATCATAACTTTTTCTTGTAGAAAGTAAATTAGGTATATAGCCTAAATTGTGTTCACTGTAGCTGAAATAACCTGTTCCTCTTATGAGGAAAAGGTGAAACTAAAGCCTGACAAAAGTTTTAATTAACATTCTCCTAATATGCAAGCGTTTGTCCACAAAGAGGATATTTGTATGATTTCATGGGTATATGTATATTTATACATTGTGTGAATTGTAAATGTATATAGTAGTGAATTTGTCTCAATTTTTTTCTTTATAAATGTGCACTTTTGGTGATGCTACAGGCCGTCATATCTGACCCAATTGGCAAGGAAAAAGTTTAATTACGGCAAAAAGGTTTTAATATAAATTTAGAAAGATACAAATTCAGTCTTTCCCTGCATAAGCTGAATAGTTGAATATTACAGAGAGGACTTGGTTTAGTTCTTCCAAGATGGAGATTAAAAACTGGGACTCAGTCTTCTCATAGATTCCAAGAGCAGAAGGGGCCATTGTGATCATCTAATCTGATCTCCTGTAGGCCATAGAACTTCTCCAAAATAATTTCTAGAGCAGATCTTTTAGAAAAACATCCATTCTTGATTTTAAAATTGCTAGTGACGGAAAATCCACCACACCCCGAGGAAATTTGTCTTATTTCCAGCAGGGGTGATGGACTCTTTCTAAAAGGTGGGGAAGGGGTTTCTGCCCCAGCAGAGCCGGGCCAGGGAGCCCGGGGCCCTCCACCTACCCGGGATGGGGGAGTGCGAGAGCAGTCTCCAGCTCTTGTCCCAGCTCTCCACCCAGGGCAGGTGGAGGGTCTGCAGCTCCCCACAGCTGCCCGCATGGCTCTTACCCTGACCCAGCTTGGCGTGGGGGCGGGGCCTCAGGGGCCAAAGAGCTGCAGCTGGGCTATGGTAAGAGCTGCCTTGGCCCTGGGTGGGGGGCCCGGAGGGCAGGGACATGGGCCGGGGGCTGCTCTCAGGCCCCCCCAGCCTGGGCTGGTCGAGGATCTGCAGCTCCCCACAGCTGCCCAGGCTCCCTGAGCTGAGCTCCAGCTTTCAACCTGGCCAGGGGATGGGCCTCAGGGGGAAGAGGAGGGGCAGGGGGCCGGGCCCATGGCCAGAAGTGGACAGGACAGGCCCATCCGCCCACCCTGTTCTAGCACCCCTGATTTCCCGTCTGTTTTTGTCTATCTTCAGCTC